GGAGGAGGAAAAAAAAAATACTGCAAATTACACCCCCGGAAGAAAAAAAAAAAACTGCAGTCCCAGTGGGGAGAATTTACAACACACACTCATGAGTGATCACATCAGCAACACTCTTTCTTCTTGTTCAGCGACCCGATTATTGGTCTGTTTCTGAGGAATGAGTCACGTTCAATCATTTGGAAAGCCAGACTTTAGGCTCATGAACGCACCATTAGCCCACATACTGTAATCTTATGTCTCTTAATGACTCACTGGGCTTCTCTTCCAGGAGAGGAGATATTAGCCCCATCTTTATATGTGGCATTTGGAAGCAAAGGTCTTGGAAAAGGTCCCTTTTTTTGCATTACTTTTCACAGATAGGCTGAAGATCGACTGCAAGCGAAGTCAAAGATGTTAAAACCATGAAAAAAAAAGACCAAAAGAGAGAAAAAAAAAAGTCAAACCCTGTAACCTGATAACATGATAAACTGTCCACTGTAGTGGCCGCGGCCCATGAAAGGGTTAACCCGGGGGTCTGCAACACACGGCTCTCGAGCCGCATGTGGCTCTTTAGCGCCCCCAGTGGCTCCATAGAGCTTTTTCAAAAATGTTTGAAAATGGAAAAAGATGGGATGGAAATATATTTTTTTGTTTTAATATGGTTTCTGTTAGAGATTATTATTATTTCTAAGGGTGAACCCTAAATCAGGGGTCCGCAACCCAAAATGTTGAAAGAGCCATATTGGACCAAAAAAACAAAAAACAAATATGTCTGGAGCCGCAAAAAATTAAAAGCCTTTTAATAAAGGCAACACGGGCTATGTATCTATATTAGCTATATTAGCCTACAATCAAAATGACTAAGTTTGCTACAAATACACAATGAGCCTTCATGATTCAATGTTTTTCCCCTGCAGTGCATCCTGTAGTGCAGGGGTACAAAACCTTTTTTAACTGAAGATCGACTTTTCGATCAACCAGCATCCCGAGATCGACCCGTTACAGCACGCGCGCATACGTACACACTTACACACGCATGCCGACGCATGGGACACACTTTTGCAGTGTGTCAACTAGCGTTGCTCACATGTAGCGTTTAAAAATGCTCCTCTCTGCCCTCCAGATTCCCATCCTCTGCTAGTACCCTCAGTGATTTATAGAGAAGTCAAAAATAACGGTTGATATACCTATTGTGTAAGTTATTGTAATGTGGGCTTTGGTAACAAGAAAATGCCTAAAGTGTCACTCTTATTTATTACAAATGAGAATTTGAAATTTTGGTAGCGATTTTAGAAAGCATCATGAAAGTTGACATCTTTGATTTGCTTTCGCAGACCACATAAAATGATGTGGCGGGCCAGATTTGGCCCCCGGGGCCTTGAGTTTGACACCTGTGTCCTACAGAAACCATATTAAAATATATTTCCCCCCCTCATCTTTTTCCATTTTCAAAAATTTTTGAACAAGCTCCAGGGAGCCATTAGGGTGGCGCATGTGGCTCCGGAGCCGCAGGTTGCCGACCCCCGCCCTAAACAAAGGGCCAGGTCGATTCCAAGTATTTTGTTTCATTCCCCACAAAAAGCCTTTTGTCATCACGCCTCTCTTTATCGGGGGAGATAACGCGTGTCTGAACAAAAGACATCGAAGCGCTTTTGTCACCACCTGGTACAATGAAGCGCTTCCATCGCGTCACGACTTGCTCGGTGACAAACGTTGCAGACGCGAGTTCACACACATTTTTTCAGCTGCTTTTGGTGAGTCACCGGTCGAAGTCGCTCACTAAGAGATGAGTTCATCGCAGAAACGCGGCCGACCGCTTCTTCAGAGCCTCGTGTGAACAAATCCTTGCAAGATGGGGCACGATCACCGGAAGCATTTGATACAATGGCTCAGTTACTTTCAAGTTGAGCAAGAAGAAAAGTGAGAATGAATGAAATGGAAACGGCAATCCTTTGGTCAAGGTCCACAAAGCCTAAGTCCGTGAGGGGCCTGCAAGTCCACACCTTGTTGGATTTAAACTTTTTCTTTTTTTATTTGAAACTAAAAGTAAGATGAACCTTCTGTTACACTTCCAGGGACAGAAAGACTCCCAAGAAGTCTGAAATTGGGCCTTGTGTCAACGGGCGGTCAGTGCTCAAGCTTTCACACGGTGGAAATGTCACCTGTCAGACGTCACCTTCCATGTGCTCTTATTGTTGTCGCCTTGTGCGCGACCCGGTTGTTTTCTTTTTTTTTTTTTTTTTTTTTTTCAGCTGCCATCGTGCCCTGGAACGAGCTCCACCTCGGGGGCCCGGAAAAGGGCATTTTCAGAGAATGGCCGAAAGTTCCATTCCGTCCATTTTTTTTTTTTTTTTTTGGTTTTACTGTTCATCCTGTTCTGAGTCATCATATGTTGTATATTCTTGTGTTTTTTTGTGGCGATAATTGGGCAGCATTTTTCACAGCCCCGTTTTGTTAAGCGGAGATGCCGGCGCTGTTGGACAGTCTGCGCCGGTGCGGTTGGACGGACAGCTTGCGGAGCTGAGGATGCGTAGTTGGAACTGAGAGTCGCCGCTTGGAATTGAAACGGATTTACAAAGGACAGGAGAAATGAAACAATCTCTTTTTTCGTCAATGGACGCGACAGTTTCTTGTTTACTTTCAAACTTAGCTTGTAGCAGACGTGTGCACATTTTGAGCATGATGTCTCTGATCGACACTTTTGGGACACTTTTGATTCTCTCCTCTTTCATCGAGAACTGGCTACGATTGCATGACTGTCCGCATTTCATGTTACGTGTGTTAATTGTTTTGTAAAGCATTTTGTTACAGCTGCAGCTGTTGTGAAAGTGCGATGTCAATAAAGATGTATTGTATTGTACAGCGGGACCTCTACTAAGGAAATTAATATATTCTGGAAAAATTTTCTTAACGAGAAAATTTTATAGGTAGAGAAGCGTTTTCCATGTAAATGCCCTAATCCGTTCCAAGTCACACCAAAATGCGGACATAAATGTTTTCTAAAGAATAAAAATATGTAACAAATACATTTTACAATTAGATTATTGTACAATAAATGAGAGTTGTGCAAAATGTAAAAAACAAAGACTGAAGAATAAAAATTATAGGAATTTAACTTTTAGCTGCGTCCTCATCTTTTTTTACCCTCTTGTTCTCCCTTAAAAGTGAGTTTTGCCTGGCGTTTTGTAAAGAACTGATCTAAGGACGTTTGCTTTTGTCGGCTTTTAACAATCCTTCGAAAATGTCCAAGGCAAACATCAGCAGAGTGAGCGATCGCCCGACTGGTGAACACTTTTTCTGGGTGATTCGCATGTATGCAAAACTATCGGAACACCTCATGGCCCAAGGAGTGAATGGCAAGGACAGTGCATAAACACATATCTATCTATCTACACACATACAGTAGGAGTCCCTCTTTGCCAATGGGATGCTAGGAGGATGCTCGGTAATAGCCAATGGCAAAGCAGCTCTAAGTATGTTGCGTTCAGAAAACTCTGAGCTGCGAGTAGCAGTCCATACTGTATTTTTACCATTTGTATCTTGAAATTTCTTTCATAACAAGATGCAATATTTTCCTGTTGAGACGTTTCGTAACTTGAAAATTTCATATGAAGAGACGTTTGTAAGTAGAGGTACCACTGTATTGTATTCTGTGGCTGGATGCATCTTTATCTTTCGGCAAGAATCTTTGTCAACCACAAGGAACTGAAACGGGAGTGGGGTGGGGGGGGGGCAAGGGGGGCACATGAAGGATGAAGTTGGCATGATATACGTGTTTCATTTTGAGGAAGCGAAGACCCTCACAATGAGACACAAGCCTAATTTGAATTCATCGAAACATCTGGTTTCCAGTTCAAACCTGCCCCCCTTGAACCCACAAGCACGTTTTGTTAACCGCGGGGAGGCATTCGCACACAGGCAGGGGCTCAAGACCTGTTGATTCCCCAGCATGCCCCGCTCACATTCCTGACCTCCTTCTGTCACTCTCTTACTAACTTCACCCCATTTCGCTTGCCTAAGACACCATCCGCCCCCCACCCCCAAGACTTAAAAACCGACCTTCCTCCACTGATTTCTCTGAGAGCAAGCTGACGGGAAGAAATATGATCTGTCAATCAAACACCTCAAGTGCATTTTGAAACTTGAGATTCCTAATGTGAGTGTGACCCCCCCACGACACGACAGTGAAAGCCGGCGCCCCGCAGAGTTAAGAGTCTGGTGAAAGAGTCCAAAAGGGGAACGATAAGAGTCCTTTCTTCAAGAGCACGCAACTTCCTTCGTAATCAGCCTACCGCTGAGGCGGCGGCAATATGTGCTGCCGTTTTTGTGAGCGGAAACTGTTCCTTTTTCAGATCGGGGCTGCAAGAGCAACTGGGGGGTGTGAGGGGGCAAAAGCATAGCTAGAATTGCAACAAACATGGATTTGTTTGTCGAAAAAGTTCCCCTTGGATCAAACTGACGTCGAAAAATTCGGCCAAATGCGAATGAATTCTTAGATCGCTGGAGTAGCTGGACGGCGGACTCACGGGTTTTCATCTCAACGACAAAAGAAAAAAAATGATGTGCGGCTTTCAACTCATTCAGTAGCCGCCAATTCTGGACCAAGTCTAAAAAGACGTTTAAAAACGTCTTTGGGAGTGAATGAGTTCATGAACCCTTTCAGGTACAGCGGTCACGACAGTGGACAGCTTATCAGGTTACAGGGTGCATGAAAGCGTTCACGTCTTCCAACGACCTGTAGCAACAAGCGTGTGGTTTTTGTGGTTGATCCAGCAGACGCTTGACAAATTAATTTCCTTTCCTTCAGGGCAAGAAGATGACTACTGCCCAGAGTTCAAGGGAGGCATGCAAAAAAATTGCCAGATTTAGCCAACAAAAGGAGGACCGCTGTGAAAGGCAAAAAAAAAAAAAAAAGCGCCTTCATTGCCAAATTTAGCCAACAAAAGGGGGACCGCTGTGAAAGTTTTGGCTGAGTTCAAGATTCAGAGTTGAGAAAAGATATTGACGTGGTGACTTACTGTGGACAGAACCGTGGTGCTGGCTCGCCGCTTTCGGCGTGTTGGATTTACTCTTCGGAGGGTTTGACTCCGTGGTGGGTCCGGCCTCACCTGGGCCCTTTGGTTCCAACTGGTTTTGGCTCGCCGCTTTGTCCATGAGCGATTTTTGCCTCGTTAACCCACCGTCAGTGCCCGCCCTCATCAGCTTCTCGCCGACGCTCTGTACCCGTGCCTGACCGGCCGAAGAAGTTACGCCAGGGCATTCCTTCCTGGGGGAGGGCAGCTTGGATCCGGCGCCGGCTGAGGGAGGCCGGGCCAGCCTGGAGGTTTTCGACATCCCGCCTTGGTGACTCTCAGTTGGTCTCTGCGCCCGCGTCCGGTGGGCTCTCAGAGCTCCCCGCGGATCTCCGGCGTGTTGTGACTGGTGCAGGTGAGGTGGGAGGCCGGTGGAAGGAGGGGACTTTTGGGAAGTAAAGGGGGTGGGGGGTTATTAGCTCTCTGGAAGGTGCGTGGCCTCCTGGGATCATTCTACAAAACAAACGGCGTGCGTGCGCATGAACCTGTGGAGGGAGCAGGGCGAAGCTTTGCCGAATCTCACTCTGAAGTTATTCACTCCTTCAGCCTCTGAGACTTCTCATTCCTACCTCGCAGGTTTCTTTTTCAGTTGCGCATACTCGGCGGGGAAAGCATTCCGGAGCGATTCCAATTTGAAGAGGCGAAACGAGAAAAAAAAGGAGCAAAAAGTCCTCCTTCAGGTGCAGCTGCTGAAGCTGTTCCAGATGTGAGCGCGCCGATTCATGTCATCAGTGCGCCGCTTCGGTTCGGTCCCCCCGAGCTCGGTCTTGTGCTGCTTTCGCTCCCTTCCCCTTCGCTTCTCTCCATCCATCATTTGACTCTTTCGCCTCTCGTCCCCCGAGACGCTTTTGCGCTCCGCCTCACGTGTCAGGTGGCGGAGTCGGGAAGCGCGCGCTCACGCGATGGCTCTGAGCTCGGCGGGTGGAATTTGTGGAGAATTAAAAAGCGCGAAAGGAGAGAGCGCGCGCGTGTGTGCGAGGGGTGTGGGTCGTCTCTGTGATTTGCTGCGCCAAAAACATCAGCTGTGATGAGAGGGGAAAAACATGGGTGGGGGGGGGGGCAAGCAGGGGAAAAGTTGGCTCCGAGAGAAACACGAGGAAGAGAAGATCACAGCTTCTCCGAGGGACAAACAACATTCGACTCCTTTGACAAATTGCTCGGCGCCAACGCTTGGCCCGCGCTCAAACCCCGCGTTGACCGTTTGCCAAATTATGTCGCTCGCGGGGCAACTTTGCATGTGAAAAGAGGATTTCATAACAGGCGCCGACGGGATTGCAAAAAACGCCTTTTGCCGAGGCTCGGCGTTCGTGACCTCTGGAGACGGGTCATGACAGGAAACGATTTCATCCGGACACCTCTAGCCCAGTGGTGTCAAACTCATTTCACATTGTGGGCCACATACGGCCTCGGTAGATGTCAAGTGGGCCGGACCATTAAAATGATACCATATTCTGCTATAAATAACCAAAACAATATGTCTTTCCTTTGTTCTGGTCTAAAGAAGCACAAGAACATTCGGAAAATATTGAAATTTAATTAACAGATCTTTTACAAAACATTTCATGAAGCACCTTAAGATTTCCTTCGACAAATGTGAAATTTACTTTTAGCACAAACATATATGCATTGCAACTGATCGCACTGATTGTACAAAGGCACAAAACTTTAACAAGTAATTGGTATTTAAAAATATAGTTCACGCACTTCAAGATTTATAAAGAAAGGATTTTTTTAAACCATTTACACATGTGCATATAAAACCTAAATTTAATCCCTGCCTACATCTTACAAACTCAGGAGAGTGCAATTAAATGTGTAAAGAATCAAGTATTCACATGTCCTTGATACCGTCTGCTGTTTGGGTCTGTCTCAGCGACAGACTGAGACTGCTGTTGTCTTCTCCTCTGATCAAAACAGCGTGCCCCCTAGCGGATACTCCATGAATTGCACCTTATTAAAAATATTCCTTGTCTTTTACGCATTTTTTTCACTTTTAAATTATCCTGCGGGCCTGATCGAACCTCCTTGGGGGCCGGTTCCGGCCCGCGGGCCGTATGTTTGACACCCCTGCTCGAGCCGCGTGTGTAATACGCTGCCGCACATGCGATATATTACACGGGGACGCCATTGTGTTGCGTGCTCGCCGACGAAACGCCAGAAAATGGATTATAGATAGCCACTGCAGCAACATGCTGAAAAGAGCAACAATTTGTTACGCTGCTCATTTTATCAACAGAGAAACATCCCGGCGTAAAACTGCCACGCTGCAAACAGTCAAACATAACATAGGAATGAATGTCGGGATCACTCTTGCGGAAGAGAACAGAAATCCTCCAAACAAGCGTCACTGACTGTATGGATATGTAATACATAATATGATGGCAACGTAACCGCTTGGCTTTGGATGAGGCAAAGCAGATTGACCTACATACATTCCTCGGCGATGACACGTTGGGATTCCGAAACGGACTTTCATGGGAGTCGCAGCGTTTCTGACGGATTTTGGGAAGCGAGGGAGAAGAGGATAGAGCGCGCCGTTAGATTGGATATCGGACTCGGTGTCGGATTTTGGGACGCGTGCGTCGCCGGCGGGCTTGGTTCTGCTGCGTTAGCAACATGCTAGCAGGGATTACCTCAAACCGAGGACGACCGCGACTCCATATGAGTTTTATTCAAACGCGTGAGCTTGCTATTTGTGTGTGTTGGGAGAAGATGAAAGGCCTTCTGTGTGGACTGGAAGCCTCCCAGCCTTTAAGCCACTTCTTACTTACTGTACAGTATACACAAATGAGAGCGGAGCCCAGTTCAAAGGCTTGAAATAGCAGGGCGTTTGGAGAAGGTTATAATTTCAGCGGTTGAGCGAAGACTGTGGTTTTTTTTTTTTTTTGCAAAGCGCGACGGATCGCGAAATGCAATCTTTATATGAAATACGAAAGCCCGCCCGGTCTTGACATATTACTTGGGCATGTCATGTTACGGTGTATTTAATTTAACCCTTTCGGGGACAGCGGTCACTACAGTGGGCAGTTTATCAAGTTACAGGGTGCATGAAATCGTTAATTGCTCAAATTAAGTCGTTGGGCATCCAGGGTGCTTGCTTGAAATTACACAGCCAACGATTTCATTGAATTTAATTTTTTTATTTTTGTGAGCTGCCTACTTTTGATACATGAGGGTAAGGTGGTCAAACTCATTTGGGGTTACGTCTTCCCTCTGGGAGGGCCGTCACGACAGTCCAACTAAATAACGCTATTTTTTCCATTTAATTTTTTTATTTTTGTGAGCTGCCTACTTTTGATACATGAGGGCAAGGTGGTCAAACTCATTTGGGGTTACGTCTTCCCTTGGAGGGCCGTCACAACAGTCAAACTAAATAACGCCATTTTCCAGATCTGGCCCCCGGGGCCTTGAGTTTGACACCTGTGCATTATAGGGTCATGCGTTACTTTCTAACACGTTACTGGCATCACTGGTGTCGATGGCCGTTTCCCCACAGAGGATAAAGAATATATCCCTGTGTTTATTCTTTACATTGTGTTGATTTGCGATGATGAAATAGCCTAAAATGATGTGGCGGGCCAGATCTGGCCCCCGGGGTCTTGAGTTTGACACCTGTGCATCATAGGGTCATGCATTACTTTCTAACACGTTACTGGCATCACTGGTGTCGATGGTCGTTTCCCCACAGAGGATAAAGAATATATCTCTGTGTTTATTCTTTGCATTGTGTTGATTTGCGATGATGAAACAGCTGGTGTTGATGCTCTTGTATATGATGATGGGAAACGTTAAGAACCATAATTATATTGAGAAAAAAAAATAAATCTCTTGTCTAACGACGAGCTGACGTTTCTAACACGTTACTGGCATCACTGGTGTCGATGGTCGTTTCCCCACAGAGGATAAAGAATATATCTCTGTGTTTATTCTTTGCATTGTGTTGATTTGCGATGATGAAACAGCTGGTGTTGATGCTCTTGTATATGATGATGGGAAACGTTGAGAACCACCATCATATTGAGAAAAAAATTAAAATAATTAAAAAATATAAATCTCTTGCCTAACGACGAGCTGACATCCAAGGTTAATAGAAATGGGCAACCGTGATATTTAATTAGGGTGATGGGCTTGTGTGTTGTCAAGAGTGCCAGTGTGGTATTTCTGTTACTGACCTTTCAGTCTGTGAGTTATTACGGCGGCGGGTTCCAAGTGACCCCCCCACCCCACCCCCCGCGGACAATGTGGACTGTCCCAACAAAACGTGCTACGAGTGCAAACAGAAACGTCATCAGATATGTGTTCAAAGATGGTTACCAAGACGCTCTTAAGTGAAGCTTTAACGTCAGTGGGACGACTGAGTCATGTCAACTAAGGTTCACATGAGTCCTTTGTTCATGTATACAGCAAATTTCTGGAAGCAAACGCAAACGAACGACACTCTTTCGGAGAATTTAGAGCAGCTGCTTGATGTAATCAGATGAAAAAAACAATTCTCGGGGTGACTAGATTGCACTCGCGTCTATTTGCAGTTTGAGATTTGGGAATTCACCTATTTGTGCATTTGATGTTCTACGATGCCCCAAGATGTCAGCAAAGCCCCTGGCTAAGATATTAGCAAACGAGTAGTTAGTGTCAAGGAATTATGTTGAATTAAAACATATTTTGGCAAGGAAATAAGTTTAGCTTAGTTTGCTAGCGGAAGTTACGAAAAGTCTTCGCATTTGTATCTTTTTTGCTTTGAGTTTTTCGTGGTGTGGGGAGCCGACTTCCCAGGGGTATCGAGAACCTTACGATATTTTTGTTTACTTGGTGTACTATACTCGTATTCTATTGTCGAATCTGTGACTGTAAGGCAGGGCCTGTTCTGGTGAGTGACGTGGGTGTCACTACATGAGATCGTTTTTAATGACGTGTATTGCCAAACTTGCAATATATAGTACATGGGCCTAATTATTCGACTCAAAGTAACAGTTTGGACCTCTTCCAAGAACGAAAAAAAAAGTACAGCTACATTCCTAGTCTCAAAAGCGTATTTTCTACAAGTGTGGGGTGTCAAGGAATCATCTGGGTGTGTGGAGGCGGTCATCTGGAGGTGCATAGTCCTGCCGAGGATTAAAGTTGATGTTTCGACTGCCCCCCCACCCCTGCCATATCGTGAGTCATTATTCACCAGCAGCCACCGAATCAGTGACTGGAGGCCTCCTGCAAGGCTAAGAGACATGCACGACAATAGCATGGAGGTGCGTGTGCCTGCGCTGCAGCTAACCAAACAGAGTTGCGGTTGTGATCATTCTCTGCGATACTTGACAGCAAAAAAAAAAAAAAAAAAGTAAAAATAAATAAAACAGGTCTTAATAACCACGTTCCGGGAAATTGCTGCATCAGTCAGTTGATTTTATGCACCAAGAGAGGCGACACAAATCGTCACAGCAACAAGAGTTTCTCACCCGATCAAGCAATCAATATTCTATCAGCGACATTTTAGTGTGCTGTCACTTTTGTTTTTTTTTTCCCTACTAATAGAAATTTCAGTTCAGTAATAGGAAGTGAGAGTCTTAAACCTAAGAGGGTTATAACTTACAGGTTTTGGTTAGGAGCCATTGTTTAGTTTTTTTTTTTTTTTTTTGGCTATGTGTTTCGAGGCCTAATTTCACAAAAGGAAAATGCACCAGAAATACAAATGTACATGCGGTGAACATACTCCGTAACTTCCAATAACAACACGGGATAGACTTTGCTGCTCCCCAAACATACAAAGCTGGTCTTAGTTGAGATGGCAATTCGACATACTTCCTTGACACCGATTGATAGTTAGACAGCTATACGGTGGCATCTATTTACCGTCTAACGCTTGTACGGTGCAGCATTAAGTTGCCTCAAGATGAAAGTCCGGATGATTTTGGTCGAAATAAATAAATAAATACAAATCATTCAGTTGAATTAGCCTGTTGTAATAAAAAAATGCGTCACGAAAATGCTTCGCGCAGAAGGAACTGGTGAGCCACCAAGATCAGCGTGTGCAGATTCGTTTCTTTCTTTTAACTCTCACTCTTTTAACACTCACTAATGGCTGGAAGTGTTTTGGGAAACAGCTTGGCAAGATGAGGTAATCCCAGTCGTTTGGCTTTTGTGACATTTTTGGTCTGGTTGGGAGGTTGGCATGAGACTTTCTACCATTTTAATCAGGGACAGTGTAATAGAGCAGACATTCTTGGGCACCTTCAATTCGCAATTGATGATTTGGGGGTGTTGATGTCGCTGCAGCAATCAAAGGTGTAAGACCAAATGGAAGAATGTCACCTGAAAAGTAGACATTCTCGAGACGTGAGGAATATAAGAGGTGTACACGTTTGGAATGGATCTCAATTTAAAGTTTGATTCTGCCTTGGTGGAGGTCTGCTCTTTCCTGTGTGTGTTTGAATCCCAGAGGAGGTATCCCTCAGAGTTCTTCTATCTCTGGAGCCCCCATGTGGCCTGATTAGTCACTCCTGCTTTTTTTTTTAAATCCTCAGACGTTGACATAAAGAGCCCCAGGGTATTTTCGCACAGACAACACACAACATGAAAACGAATTCCTTTGAGTGTAAACCCTTGAGCAGGGGGAAAAAAAGAAACAAAAACACTGGTAATCCCGCACTTATTTGAATAATACGTTTTAATTGTGTAACTTGCGTCACGTTTCAGGCTGAGTTGACTGACAAAAGCAAGGAAGCAATTACAAAAACGCAAACCACTGTAACTTGCGTCACGTTTCAGGCTGAGTTGACTGAGCAAAAGCAAGGAAGCAATTACAAAAAAAAACGCAAGCCACAAACACAATCGTCGCGTAAGAGTGACATCGACAAGTGGCGCTTTTAATTGGGTGACGCCAAATGACGTTGCTTCTAGCAAACACAATCGTCGCTTAAGAGTGACATCAACAAGTGGCGCTTTTTAATTGGGTGACGCTAGATGACGTCACTTCTAAGCGACACACAGAAAAGACACCCCAACTCTCGGGCGTCTGTTCGACCTTCCTTCTTCCCGCTGACGGGCGTACTGTAATACAGAAAAAAAGGAAAATCAACCCCATAGGATAATGTATAAAATTAATTGCCCCCCCCACCCAAAAAAAAAAAAAAAAAAAAAAAAAAAACGACGGCCATTTTCCCTACTCTCACAGGTTTCCTTTGTTTTGTAATCATAAAATATAGTTTCAGTTAACTTTCATTTTTTAAAGCATTTCTGATTTGATTTATGAACGAAAACGTTGTTTGTTTTGCTTTTCTATTAGCCTTTTACTGTTCGAAAATGAGCAAAATTGGTGTTTTGAGAAATACTGAGGGATGCTGGAAAAAAAAAAAATCAAAGATACAACCAGGGGCTGATGAGCAACAGTACGGATCGAATGACACGTGAATTGCAGTGACAGCAAACGCCGGGATCAGTGTCACAATGAGGGACAGGAAGTCCAGCACGAATCCGTGTATACAGACGCGCACACACACACACACACACACAAGAGTGCGGACACACGCACATGCAAGGCTTCAGTCAGCAACCGAGATGTGCTGAGCCAACAGCGTGGGTCGGGGCCAGCACGGGGACACAGCAGATAATCATCTGATGGAGCCCGACCCACAAACACAGTGGGATGTGTAGTTGCAACTAAATTTAAAGCTGGAAGAGCGACTGATTCGGGAATAAATCACCATAAAAGGGCTCAAATAGATGGTGGGGGTTTTAGGTTAAGGATCTGACATATGTACGCTCCTGAGACAAAAGAAATACGCTTGACTTCCCTCCATTATGCTATGAAGGAGTTCTTTATGGCTTTTCTTTTATGATAATGAAAGGAATTAACAGTGCTCATCAAGCGACGCTGACTTAAGGCTAATTGTGACGAATGGCATCGGGGAACAGCTGCAAGCTCACGTTTTGCCGCCTACGCCGGGGAAACCCCAAAGTTCAAGTGATTTCATTCTCCCAATCCCCCCCTTATAAATTGTGAAATGTTTTTTTTTTTTTTTTTTTTATTGTATTATTATTGTATTTTTGGGTCGGAATTTGTAGGAAAATAAATACCAAAGTGCTATTGTTTTCACCAAATTGTTTTCACCCCCCCCCCCAAAAAAGAGGATAAAAGGCCTGTTTATCAAAAGAAACAGCACAATATTACGAGAATAAGCTGTCATTTTGAAATGAGCTTGTTCGAATGACTTTCTTCCTTCAATGACTTTGACTTTATTACAATTTCAGTTGTGGAAAACACAAGTTGACAACTTTTTATCCTGACAAAATTTGTTTTTTATTTATCTATTTATTTTTAACCCTTTCAGGGACAGCGGTTACTACGATAGACGGCCTATCAGGTTACAGGTTATCATTGAAAATCTTCCGGCATCAAGGGATACATGTGGCAGTACCATTCTAGTGGCGTTAGGGAACATGAGGAGGTCCATGGGGGGGAATCTCTCACCTGGTTCCAAAAAGTTTGACAACCGCTGGCCTAAGCGGCTGGATGAGTCAGAGAAGCAGAGGGTGGCGAGAAAGATGAGGAAGGGAGACGAGATAAGGCATTCAAAAGGGAGGGAGGAGAGACTCTGGCCCGCTGAGCTCTTCCCGCTCCTTCAATGTCCGGTGGCGGCGGGGCGAGCGTTGGCACTAACCTGGCTCATCTGATTCTCATTTGGAACATCAAAGAGCAACCGCAGACCTCCATCAGTCAGTAGCAACCCACGCTCCTGGCGATATTAAAACTCCGCAGCGCCATTCGAGCTCTGATGTGAACGCTGTCCTCAGCTCACTTACTGGACCGAGCCTCAATCGACTTCAAGGTGGAGGATTTGTGGGGACACATTTATGAGACCTCAAATGGGGCAGCTTTGATTTAACCCTCCCATGCACCCTGCAACCTGATAACATGATAAGCTGTCCACTGTAGTGACCGTTGTACCTAAAAAGGATTAAAAACTAAAACCAACAAGAAAGAAACTTCGTAGACCTTCACCGATGTTGAAATATTTCGCTCTGCTTATCAAAACAACACGACTGGCAAAAAACACTCTTACAAGTGAAAGTGCTAGCTAATTGTAATCCAAGGCGTGACATCACAGCCAACCAACTATTGCCCAATTGCAACCTGCCCAAACAAAAACGTGCTTGGCTATCACTCCTTAAAGAACCACTCCAACCATTCCTGTGTTTGTATGGAATGTATTAGTTCTCCTATGTATGGAGACTGATGGGACACCATCCAATTTCTAATGCGCTTATCCTCAGAAGGGTCGGGGGGGTGCTGGAGCCTCTCCCAACTGTCTTCGGGCAGTAGGCGGGGGACACCCTGAACTGGTCGCCAGCCAATCGCAGGGCACACAGACACGAACAACCATCCGCGCTCACACAATTTACACCCAATTCAGAGTGTTTCATTAACCTGCCATGCATGTTCATGGAATGTGGGAGGAAACCGGAGTACCCGCAGAAAACCCACGCAGGCACGGGGAGAACATGCAAACTCCACACAGGAAGGCCGGAGCCGGAATCGAACCCTGCACCTCTGCACCGTGAGACCGCCGGGCCGCTCCCATCCAATCATAACTTCAAATTAAGCGTTTTTAATTTTTAAAAACGGCATCCTTCTGCTTGAGCGCAGTGTATTTAACATGTACGTTTCCGTGCTCATAAATGGATGAATTTGATTTAAGAGTGATACAGTTTTCAAAACAGGTTCAAAAGCCTCTTTGTCTTCAGATTCCAGTCATGAGTGATGGATCAGCCCCCGGCATGCTGCTAATTAGCAGACTTTCCCAGGAGCAAAGTGGATTACCCCCGATGTGACCGGCAAAACTTTGCCAGGGAGATTTTGTTTGCTCGTTTTTACATGTTGCTGATGAGGCAGCGACACAATTTTATCAGCAAGGGAAAGAAAAAGAAAAAAAAAAAAACAGAAGTCAACAAATTGGAATGTAGCACAGCTGGTGATGAAGGTGTTTTTCTCCGGGTGGAAGAGAAAGTAGGCCCTTTCTCAGCACTTTCAACATGTGCACGCACACGTTCCCACGCACTCTGCGGCGGTCCTTGCGCTTATCGACATCCGCCTGCTTCCTCATCATGAATGTCCGACGGCAGTCAGTAACCGGGAGTGTCCTTACCTGAACATTTGCTGAGTTATCAAATGTCTGTATTATGTCATGTAAACTGCACATGACACCAGTCACTAGAATGGAACTCAGTAGAGAGCAGACTTCTTCCAACAATCCCAAACCTCTGTTTACTGGTACTTAACCCTTTCAGGGACATCGGTCACTACAGTGGACAGCTTATCATGTTATCAGGTTACAGGGTGCATGAAAGGGTTTAAAATGCAGTTTTGGTTCATTGCCTCAATGTGACCTCCATGGCAATAAAATACAAATGTGTCGATTTTTTTGTTATCCGGAATTGACTAGGATCTTCTTCATTTTCTTCCGTCTAACTTCCACCTTGCTGCAAAGTTTTGTGGAAGCTGATAAAGTAAATTTGCTACCTAGCTAACTGTCCCACAAACAACTCACAACCCTTGATTAAGCTAACTATAATGCAATCACAACATTTCAAGTAATTAACCGACCTATCTTAAGTGTCCAACAAAGAAATACAACGACCCAATCACTAAAACCTGTCTGACCAACTCAAATAATGAACTAACTAGCCAGCAAGCTAGCTAAAAAAAAAAAACAAGCTAACTGACTGATTGGCTAACTGACTAACTGCTCTCACCTCGTACCTTTCTTGAGTCACAAACAAGTAGCATAGTTTCAGAAAGCACATTTGTTTGGCGACCAAAGTGGCAATAACTTGAATGTGGAAGCTTTTGAGACAACAAAAATTACACGTGAAGCGCAACAAGATAATTGGATCAAAACGAGCAGCGCGTCGGCCGGCAAAACAATGAGGGACTGCAGACGCGGGCGCTCTTTTGTTTGTGTTGTCGCCAGCCGACCTCTGGGGGCGACGACCCAGATCTTTGGATTGATTTGGAAAGTCATTAAAATCGCAGTTGGTGGGCACGGCAGTCGCCAATGTGGCGTTGGACGACATGCCAAGGATAGGCCTCGTTATCGGGTATCCTCACACATTCATTAAGGGCACTTATTCCCAACCGTTCCTTTCGCCAAGGCAAAAACGGTATTTTATATACAGTGGTGCCTCTACTTACGAATTTAATTGGTTCTGGAGGAAATTTCTTCACTGGAAAATATGTGGAAGTAGAGACGCATTTTCCATGGAAATGCCCTAATTCGTTCCAAGCCCCACCAAAATTCAGACAAAAATGTTTCCAAAAGCATAAAAATGCATCAAAATATGTAACAAATACATGTTACAATTAGATCGTTGCACAGCAAATGAGTTGTGCATAATGTAAAAAACAAAGAATAAAAATGGTCATTTAACTTTTAACTGTGTCCATCGTTTTTTGCCCTGTTTAGTTCATGTTCTTTCTCAGAAGTGGTTTTTGCCCGACGTTTTGTAAAGAACTGATTGAAGGACATTTGCTTTTGTCTGCTTTTAACAACCCTTCGAAAATGTCCAAGGCAAATATCAGCATAGTGAGCGATCGCCCGACTGGTGAACACTTTTTCTGGGTGATTCACATTTACGTAAAAC